TTAGTTCCAGCTTAAATAAAGTATTGCACAATTCCATAAAATGCTTTTTCATTACACGTATAGAAGGAGAAATATTCACTGGGTTTAATTTCAGTGGATTTGATGTAGCATGGCTATTCACTGGTTTATGAAGGAACCAATACATTCTGTGTTTGCGTTTTGGCATGTTCACAGGGTTTTTATTTTAATTTGCTGTGCGGCTACATTCTGTTTTGTCTTATGTTTTTGTCTTTGATCATAGATTTTGTCAAATAAAATAATTCTGCATTTGATATACAAGTAAAATAATATTCAACGTTGAAATTCAGTCTGAAAATTTAATCTTTGTTCATATAATATGTGCGTACAGGTACACGGACATATTAAGGGTCATTTATCCAAGTCAAATAAAATGGAACAAAGAGAAAAAAGATTAATAGTGCCACTGCTAGCTGTTACTTGCACATTAGGTCAACTGTTTGTTGAATAAATTTATGTTTTACATGTGTCTACATGTATTAGCTATTGAATTCTTGTTGACATTTGCCCTTTTGGTCCTTGCACATATGGCATTATGTATATATTTTCGTTTTGACCTGTCTGAATGAACAAGGCTGTGTGTACATTTGTTTGGTTATGCATGGAACATATCCTCATTTTTCTTTATTTAAATTTAATATTCTTTTTTTCCCCCCAGCTTTTAATTTTGCCTGTGTACTATGCATGGTTTGATATATCGAAATATTTCTGTGAATTCATACTATATTATGTTGAATATTTATTAGAAGCTGCACCCCTAATATAAGTTGCACCCATTCTGTTTGAACAATTGAGAACCAAAAATTCACCATTTTTCATATGTTCAGATGCTCTAATAGAAACCTCATCCCATCTGTTGTATTGTACCATTTTAATATAACAGAAAAATAGAAGAATTCCCCAAAAATATGTATTTTCCATTTAAAATAAAATTACTGTATAAAAAAAAGCCTCAAGTTGATGATAACTAGTGGTGTACGTAAACAAAAGAATGTGATATTTTTATCACTTTTATTTTTAGGTAGCATGCTTGTTAACATCCTTAACATTACTGCGTTGGCTTTATTAAAAGTGCATCTCTAAAACAAGTGTACATATTGTACAAAAAATTGTATGTATGTTATGCTAGATCATTAAAATTTGAACTTTTTTGACCATAGATACCTCTATCATTTTATGTAAGTGCATGCATTAATATAATAAATTGACTACTACTATTCCAGAACTGGATCTTGATCTGTCATTGATGGATGGATTTTGTTCAAACTTAGTATTACTTAGAATCTTGCAGTCCATTGCTTTTGCTATCATCTTACAATGATAATGTACAGTGCTTGCCATGTCATGACTTGTGAACTATGAATTTCCTGGTAATAACATTTCCTAGTAATAGTGTAATAATTATAATCCAAAGCCATTGTGAATATAGGACCAGCAAAACCATAAGAAACTTTTGTTTTTGCGGGGAACGAATATAACCACAAGCAACTAATGAATTTTATTTGTATTATTTACTTGTATCATTGACCTCATGGTACGATCTTTATGTCACAGCTGTTATTATTGCCTTAGAGGGCATACTTTATTTTGAAGTTAAAATGGTAATAAAAAGGGTAATCTAAAAACAACATCGTTTATCAAATAAATTATCAATTGTTTGATAGGTGAAAAGTGAAGAAGACATTGAAGAAACGTTGCTGTTATACCTGGAAACACCAGGATGTATGTATGACATTTAGCACTCAAGAAGAAAAAGATGGTTCATATCCAGCCATATCTCACCCATGCTTTGGAAGATCAAGTTCATACATCAGACATTATATTTGTTTCATGACCCGATTCAAGATGGTCGAATGGCAGTCATTTCTAGTATTCCAGATCTCAGCTGTATGTAGACGGATTTGGTATAAACTTGGGTACATACACTGAACACAATGATATCTTGATGCTTTTTTTTCGAATCAAGTACAAAATGGTCAATCTGTTTTTTAGGAAAATTGTCAAAAATGCATAACATGGCAATTTAGCAGCAGCTCCCATTGACTACAATTAAAACACATATCATTAAGAATTAAATATTGTAATTTTTTTAGTATTTTCAGACATGAACAAGTACATTGATTAGACACTGTATATCATTTTTTCATCTTATGCCACTGATCAAAATGTTGAGGTATTGAGATATATCCTTGCCATATGACATTATTTTTACTGTTGAGTAGCATTCTACATTAATATTTCTGTATTTTTAACCTTGTTTTGATTCATTTAACTATTGTTTGAGACCTGTATGTAGAGATCATCGAAACAAACAAATATCTATGATTGAATGAACAACGATGGAATAGTATTTTTTGTTATCTATTTGTCTGTTAAATTACATTTATCAGGTTTTTCTTGTATATCTTCATTGAAGATGCTTTTTCATACATTTAATTTCCTAAGTGATCAATTTGTATTTTATTTTTCTTATCAATGATATTGATAATAAGACTGCACATATTTTATGCATGCATTATAAATGTCAACTTTCACAAAAGATTTACATGTGTATATGTGTGCTGTTTATTTTTTACATGTGACAGAAGTTTTGGCTGTGTTCTGGGAAGGTTGTAGTTTGTTCATTCTGATCAGCTCTATATTGAACAGTGGAAAAATACAACATACAGGTCTGTGTCCTTTCTCAGTGAAAAAGATTTCTTCTTTAACACACACTCCGCTGATGCTGTTTTTTCCCCTCCATTCACTTTTTGGGCATCTGTGGAGACTTTCAGCAGGCAATGTCAATTTTTGACGCCTTTCACAAAATAAATCCTGCAAAACTTTGCAGCAAAGATTTGGCGGGAACGAAATTACAGTGCTCAAAAGGTTAAAGAAAATTAGAAACAAATCCAAATTTGCGGATGTATGTATTTCTTTGAATCTTTCACTTTTACACAGGTATTTGTGCAAGTAATTCACTGGAATATTTTTGAATAAAAAATGAACATAATGTTAAGTGTTGTGTGTAATATGTACAATATTTTGCAATGAATAGAAACTGATTTATCTATATATTGTGTGATGTACATTTTGTGTTTGAAGTGAACCATGGGAGTTCTCTTTTTTTTTTGGGGGGGGGGGGGGTTATTTTACTTTCTCCCCTTCATAAAGAGTTCTGTGTATTTATTAACTCTATATTCAGGGCAAAAATAAATGCTAGTTTTTCTCAACAATTTGGTCCGTTACAAATATCAGAATATTCTAAAAATTTGTTACAGCATATTCACCATAGGAACTATAAGCTATTATAAGCTCAATATATCCCATGCTGCATCATTCCAGACAATAGTATGTCCTGTTTTTTTTTAACCCCTGACTTGCAGCTGTTAAAGTTCATCTATAACTGGGATGTAATCAAAACATTTCTTTTCTTAATTTAAATATATTAAATGTTATCTAATATAATTTATCTTGCCACGTGGGATACATAATGATACACTTTTCTGCATCATAATGTCAAAATAAGTTGTTCTCAATATTTTCGATGACCACTGATATAGAAATTCTGTGTAAACTAATAAGGGTCAATGAATTTAATTGAAAAGTCAGAAAATTTATGTTCGTAATTTCATGCATTGTGTCAAGAGTAATGTGTGAACAGGTATTTCTGGACCACCTTTTAATATCTGTCAATAAAAATATAAATTAAAGTCTGTTGTAATTGAATTAAACATTTTTCATGGTTCGGCATGGGGTCTTAGGGTGAAATATTTGCATGGTGACTTCTTGTTTTTACCAATGATTTATTGAAAATTGTTTAGAATAATTATTCCTAAGGAAAACTAAGTACTCTTCACTTGTATGCACTCCCAAATTTGAAATTCAACTTACCATCAATGAGTACTCCTCTCTGTACAAGTCTGGGGAGGGATATGGAACATTTTAGGGGCCATGATAAACTTTTATATAGACATTGTTGTGGCACAGGGGGGGTGTTCTCATTTTTTTTTTTTTCAAACTTGGCTGTTGAGTGTGAAAAAATAATATGAATTAATATGTTTAACAGCCAGGCATGATGGAACATGTTACCTTTATTTATTTTCTAGTATTTGTTCAATTGGCTATTTGGCCAACATAGTGAAATATAACTGGTCTGAATAATTCTTACTTCCAACCCATAACACTATAGTGAAATAATCAACCAATTAGAAAACAGAAAGTCATTCCTATTGCCAACTTTGTGTTTGAAGTGCAAGCACACCCCCCCCCCCTCTTATTTGATTGTTGTCAAAATAATTTCACCTGGTAAAGTTACCCTACTAAACTTCTCAGAGCAAGAGCAAATTTTAAATAAACAAAACGTAGTTAAATGGACTTGCCTGTATTTGTACAAAATTACTTTACACTAAAAACTAAAACAGTATCCTTTAATTATACCACTTTCAGAGTTATTGTAAACACAAATATTTTTTTTTATATTTTGGTTTATGATATTGTGTGAAAAAATATTTAAAATGCTTTGAAATTATTATTCTAGTTGATAAAATTAAGTTGATATAAATTTTCCTATTATTTGAATTATGAGGTTCATTTTGTTGCCTAGCAACAGCTTGTGCCACAATTTGTGAAGTGACTGTATAAATTGATTTATAAAATTCATTTGAAATTGTCGTTAGTTCTGGTGAACTTAATTGGTATAATTTAATCCAAAAAATGTAAATTAAAAAAAAAAGTTTAAATGTTACTTTTTTTCAATTGACCAAAGAAATATATTTTTTTTTATTTCAAAACTTCCTTAATTTATTGAATCAATGATAGATTCCATCATAAATATGGAATATTTCTACATTATGTCAATCATTTGATTGTCAAAATAGTTTATTTTAGCCCATCCCAGGGGCATCCCTTTGCATTTTTTAACCAACCTAAGGACCACGGTCCGTCCTTATTTAAGCCAAGCTGAGGACTTCAGACGTCTGCGTGATGTATCCCATCAAGCTCAGCATATAGCCGCCATTTTTATTATTGTATTTCTTTGTTCATATTTTCTTGCAAAATATCCATCTTCACCCGGCGTTTCAAAATGTCGCGCCGAAAGCAGGACAAACCACAGCAAGTCAAAAGAGCATTAACAGGTAATGTACCCGAATTCAACTGTCGAAAAAAATCTCCGAAACGACGGAAAGTGAGAGGGAAATTACAGGTCTCTGGACGTGTCGTTGGACAAAAACGAGTGGTCAAGTGGTAGGTGCAGTGGTGTGGGCATAATGGCGTGTCTTGTGCGATCGCTTTCTTTGTCTACCTGCATTGCCACAATTTCTATTTCGCGTAAAATTCGAGTTTTTCTTTGAAGTTACTCATGTACAATTTCCTGTGATTATAACCAACCGCGTGACGGCACTGGCTTCAAAGTCAGTGCCCTTCATACCCAATTTTGGGAAAAAAAATCGCTCAGAAAAAATAGCAGTTGTTGTTGTACATCATAGCCAATAACCATAGGCCATATTTTGTGGATGCGTGAATATAGGCAAATTTCTGTTCGGAACTCGTAGAATGTTTTAAGGTCCAGAGAGTTGTGAATTTGAGAAGTTCGCATGTCGTGCGAAAAATATGAACGAAGGATGGGCTAGTTTGTTATGTAACCATGTAATGGATGCGTTTCAGTACGAAAAGAGGAGAGAACTAACATACTTCGGCTCACAGCCTTGACCTCCAATGTCGGGGGGAATATTGTACACATAGATGTGAAACATCGTTTATAGTAATTTTTCGAATATATGTCAACAGCGAACGTAAACATTGCGTTGGGTTACTGTGGGTACTGGAAATGTTCGGGGTATTTTCTGGAGGTTTTAAATGCGTAGTATTTCTAGTGGGAACTGTCAACATGCCGTGACCTTTTGTTGTCATACTGCACGACTAGTCGTAGTGTGGCCATATTTAGTGTCCACTTTTAATGATTTCCTCCATCGTTGGACAGTTTGTTTTTCCTTGTCTGTTTGACCTAAAGTGACCCCAGGCATTGCCCATAGACAAAGGTCAGACATGCTTCATTGTTGATGCTGAATAATTAATGAGTTCTTGATCTTGTCCTTGGAGTTGACTGGCAAACAGCTGTGTTGTTCATGATGGCTGAATTTTGAAAATATCAATACCAATTTTATGGCAGAAAAATAATGGGTTTATTTCCCTGTCAAATACAATTTTATTGATTACTCTGTAAGTAAAATTATTACGGTACCTCCATTTTTAACCTTCATTTAAGAGACTGGTCAGGGAAAATTAATATGAATGTGTTGTGTCTTACTGCATTTGACTTTTTAATTACTGTCCAAATTGCTAATTTATACAAATTGTTAATCATTTATTGACTATATCCTGTTATGTTATATAAATTGGCAGAATTTCTTTACAACATTTAAAAACAATGTTCACGCCTCTGAATCTGATATCCAAGATGACAGTATGGTTGAAGAAAGCACAAAAACCTTCTCACTCTGGACATTAATACTTAAAAAAACATTAATTTAGAAATGAAATTATTCATTATCAAAGGTGTTAACAAATGTATATTGTACAAAGCATGGTTTTGTGTGACCATTTACTGGCACATCAAACTGTTTACTTATTACTAGTCCACTAGTTTGTAGAAAGTCTCTTTGTCATATCTAATATTAAGACTACCCAAATTAAAAATAAAAAAAAACAAAAAAAACTTTGTATACTCAAATGCCTAAATAACAAGTGTGAAAATCATGAATTTAAATTGTAAAATTAAAGGTAAATGTGGCCATTGTTTGCTTCATAAAAGGGAGAAAATACTATATTGACTGAGTATCTAGTGACCAGGTCGTTCTACTATTGTGGAAAACATTTTAAAATTCATAGTGGAAGCAAGTATTGACAGAGTACCCTGATTTTCTAAGACTCATTGATCATTGTTGTGAATCATCATCTCCGCATCTCTTCAGTGTTCTTGTCTGCTTTTAATGTTAGTAAAAGATACATACATTTTAAAAATAGTGCTAAAATACATTTAAAACTTGGGGTGATTTGTTGTCATGACATTTACTTTCATGTGTGATTGTATTTTGTTTTTACGATACTGATTTAATACAAAGGTTTAACCAGAATGGAAAAAGTAGGTTTTGTTTGATTTCTCATTACTCATGAAAAAAAAGAGTTATTCACATACATTTGCATCTTGATAGTATTATGAACAATGAACTTTTATGAAATGGTCATATTTTTCTCTTTATGCAAATTCAATAGATGACAGTAGAGAGAAATGATGGTAGGGTTTGTTTTTGTACTATCACGATACATGATAATGTGTAGAATACAATTGTATGTATCCACATTAGGCTGTAAACAGTGTACAGTGTAACAACCAAATTATTTATGTCACTAAAAAGCAGCCTGACACACACATACTGATCCTTTAATAACTGAAAATTGAATAGCACCCGATTGACTGACCACTATGGTAATGTTTTTGGTGTTTCCTTTAAATCTGTCTGTCCCTGTCCAGATTGTTTATTACTTCCTGCTAGATGTGTGTTGGGGAGAATTCAGTCCCATGTCATCTTATTACCACACAATATCCACCACTGCTCGCTCTCTTTCTCTCTGCTGAATTATCCTGGCCTTGAGGCTAGCCACTGCAGTTTCCATGGCTACAGCCATTCATTGGAAAAAGCTGTATTAAAAATGAAATGCTCTTCCCTTTTAACATTGGTCTGCCAATTTATCCATATCTCTGATCACTGACTATTGTTTCCCAACATATTTCCTTCTACAATACCCTTTTTAGGCCACTGCATGTCTACAGGGGTTGCGTATTTTGAAGTTCTGAGGTGAATAAATATTCCTGCGACTGGGCTATTCTAATTAATATTTATGGTGGTGGCTGGTTGCTGTTTGCTCATTTACGCCGAATCGTCAATAAGGATGCATGAGAGGGAATCCTGTTGCAGTATGTGTTATTGATTACATTTGATCCACCTGGCATACTAATATAACCAAATAAAAAATTGACACTTATTCCTCTCATTTATCTGTGCTTCAAAATTATGTGTAACAAATTTTATTTTAAATTTCACTCTCATTCTGGATATTTGATCTTTAGAAAGTAGAATAGCTATTTTAGCAATTATACCAAAATGTTGCTACCTAAATTTCAACTCTTTTGATCAGTCATTGTTGTACAAGGTCTGTTCCATGGAACTCATATAGAGTGTAAAATTACAGCAGCTGAAGGTGTCAAATTAGGGGGAGGGTATGCTTCACACAGAATGGAAAATCAAAATGAAATCCACTTGTAATATTCTTCCTGTCATTTTGTGTGAAAACTTGAAGGAGGCGCAGGTCTAGTCTAGTTCACACTATTGAAGTTAGCATATATCTGAGATGTCTGCGCAGTTGTACTTCCTCCCACTCCTTCATGCTTCGTTATAAAACAGTATATTATAGTATCCTGCAGTGAATATCTTTCAAAAGAATTTTTTTTTTAAATCCTAGCAAACAAAACATGACCAGCTTGAATCGTGTGTGGATATTTTAGTAGATGACCAGAGAGTAACTCGATTGTCCTCATTGTTTATTATTAAAAACGAATTTAAGTACAATTTGTGTTTTATGCCAGTTTATTAAAATTGTGCTTATGTACAGTTGTTGCCAGTTGCAATATTTTTCTAACGTAAATATGGAGTAAAGATGCCTTGATATTCTAAATGATGAGGGTGAGTTGTAAATCCCACAAAATTTATGCCAAAGATTTATTGGGATTAAAGTGTACAGAAATCTGTACTTAACAGCATTTTGATCACTAAATCTAAATCTAGTATTGTCTTCTATGTTCTGGTACGCTGCAATGTTTTTTTCTTCTTTCGTTTTTTTTTTTTCAATTTGTTATTCCAGTTGATGCGTGCATGAACCTTGCAACCCTTTTACGTAATCTTGTGGACTCGTTATACAATCCGTTACAACTCAGCGTTTTCATTGGTTCATGGTTTCATAATATCATTCTGCTTGCCACACCTTTTCTAGCATCTATGCTGACTTTCATGGTCCCCATTTTGCGTGTTTTTTTTTTTTTAAATCTCCAACAGTATGCTTGCATCTCAATTCTGCTTCATCAGTGATATATGCAAGCAGTGAAAATAAAATTGTTTGATGATTTTATATACTGCAAAAATCATATTATTTTTGAATAATTATTTAATAACATAGGATGCAGGAATAGACCACTCCAAACATACAGTCATGTATTAAATTATGAGTTCATGTGATTGTCCCAATTTACTGTCACAATGTAATTGGGGTATTGTAGCACCATGGCATAAATACCCACACCACCAATAACGGTAACTGTAATTGCAAGCTGTCATGCGTTGGTGGTCAGTGTGCTGTTAGTATACACACATATGGTCAATACATTGCAGCCCAGAAGGTCTATTCCTTTGCTGTGTCTACAGAGGTGGTTTTTGGTTGGCTGAGCCTGCTTTATTGAAAAGAATTTGTAGAGAGTATTTGCTCATTGAGCAGTAACAAAGAATACATCAGACTGAGTGCTTTTCATTAAAACCGAGTGTGGTGCACTAACCTTGCAGTCATCCATTTATAAACATAACACTTGATGAAAATAATAGTTTGAAATTTTTGAATATAAAAAAAGAAATCATCATCTCTTTCATCTAAGAGTGAACTTTAACAATCAAATTTTCCTTCACATTTGTTGTGACAGTTACCATATGGAATATTTTATGATGAACTTTTGTGTCAATCTACGGTTAAAGTCACTATCAAACAGTATGGCTCATTATTTTTATTGCCCTGTGAATTGAACGCGTTGATTCATAATTTTTTTCTAATTTTCTATACACGGTGTTTTCAGTTGTAGTTCTGACTTTGATTAAAAAACATTTTCTGATTTCATTGAATTGAATTAAATTTAGCTCAAATATCATATTTTATTTACATATTTTTTTTCTCTGTGTATGATGAAACCCTTAGAGAGTGCACCAGAGCTTGATAAATGTATGCAACAATGGAGGAGTGATGTCACCTACACATTGATGAAAGAAATGATTGAAAAGGTCACATGGGATGCAAACAATATCATACCAATCTAGGTTGTGTAATTTCTGGTAAACGATGCATTTTGCTGTTCTGAATATTTTGCTCCCTGTTCATGAATTTTGTTTATTTATGCAGGTTCTGAAACACCGTCGACTAGGGTATTGTAAATTCATATAATGTTATAGGGTGAACTCTGGGCAGATGGTGACTACAGGTGTAGAAGTGTGTTATGCGTTCAGTTCTGTATAGTGTCGGTTGTCCTGAACCAAGCTGGCACTTTTTGTTTTGCACACGCGAGAGAAGGAGATGGAAGGGAGAGATTTACTCTTGAAATTGCCTATAGACATGCTTGCTGTCCTTTGGCCTTAAGACGGGCACCAGGTGCATTTTTATTACACAAAGCACTGCTGTCCCCAGCACATGTGGTCACATTGTGCCCTTTCATGACATGTAACCATTGGACCATAACCAGTAACAAAGACCCAGGAGAATGATGTATTTTCAATATCTACTGTCCAAGGGGAGATGTCTGACACTAGGCAGCTATCCTCAAAGATAACAGCACCAATGAGGAAACCGCTATGTTTACACCTACATTTTGTACCCTTCAAAAAAGAAAAACACTAGTAAAAAAAACTGTACAGTAGAATATGAAAAAGAATTGTCATGTGTGAGGAAACACTGATCTTTGGTCTTTAATAAGTTTATTTCAGTAATCACTCTTCTATTATTGTGAAATGGTGTGCACATATAAAGTTATTTCCCCAGCGCAATGTTCTATATATGCATCCATATTTTATGAGTGGCGACTAGATTATAGTGGTAATATCAGTGGCTTGTTTGCTGCAATCCACATTTGTTGTTTGTCATTGCTAGGATTTGCTAATGCCCTTTTGCACTAAGTACACTTTTACCAAAACTGGTACTGTCCACACACAAAATTGATGGTGTTTGTGCAGCAGGGAGTTGGCTGTTATTCCATAAAATATGACAACACTTCGAAAATTGTTTTGCCTTGACAGTGTCCGACCTCTGTCCTTTTGGTAATTTTTCATGCAATCCCTTAAGTCGGTAGGAGGTACAAATCTAGAGTACGGGTTTAATTGACAATATGAATTTTAGTGCATCCTTGCTCATAACTCATCTCTGTGATAATAATCCGTGTAACTGGCAGGATAGGGATATTTCATGATGATTGGTGTTTTTGCCTGTGTTGGCATATTTCGTTGTATCATGGATTAACACTGCATTTTTTTTTCCAAAATGCTGTCTCCAGTTGGATTATCAATTTAATGAGTTTAGATAATAAAAAGTAAATTGAAGGAAACAAGGGGATAATATGTGAACATTGAACTGACAGTTGAACTATGACAACAAGGATGAAATGTAATATCCATTTGCTAATTTTGCAGCTGATTCCCCCACCCTCCACCCCCATGTGAATTGATAGGAGATGTTGGAGAACTTTTCCCTGTTGTACAAGCAGAAAAAAGGTCTTTGCTTCTCTTCCTGTTTGTGAAATTATAAAGATGGATTCGTTGCTTTGATGGATATCACACATATTTATCACAGTCGTACCTACTATTGAGATAAGAATTCTCCAGCGATAGAGGCAAAATACACCCACCTATAAAATATTACTTAGTATTCTCAATGCCTATCTCTGTATTAAAATGAGTTTCATTCATTTTTTTTTTTTTTGCACTCGGCTATATGGCTATCCCTGGCTATCCCTGGCTGCATTAATGACAACCCCAGTGGTGTTGCATGATAGTGGAGTAGAGAGTTTCTCTGCATCTAAAAATATAAGCTGAAAGCAATCATTTGCAACACTGCATTATATAATGTAGTGTCAGTGTTGAAGGCTCATCTCCATAATGACAGAGCAGTTGAGATGTTTGGAGTATGATTCAGCCATGAAAGGATGCATGTGGAAAAATAATAACACCTCAATGAATATTCCTTTCTACATTGTATGCTGCACACACCACAATCAGTCGGAGGTGTACATGTATTTCTAAGCGCCTCTTTCATTGTTTCATTTTGTACTGCATACAAATTACCAACAAAAATCCTATTCGTCATGCCTCCCCCCTATGATTTTGTCGATTCTGTATTTCATGGAAGTGATAAGGGGTGCATACTACTGGCTGATAAATATTACACCATCTCTGCAAGCCTTAAGGCCCTGTTATTATCAAGCAGTAGCCATTTTATTACAACATTGTCTGTTAAATACACTCTTCTTGGCGAAGAGATTTAGATATGCTATCCTTGTCTTTGGTTTTACTGGCACTGTAGACGAGTATCATAAATTTTGCATCTAGATAATTCTAGATTGGTCTAGTTTTTTCTGCTAAGAGCGATATTATACATGTGTGTTTGTGTGTGTATGCATGGTGTGTGACTGCTCTAGTTGATGCAGTCCAGCATTAAATTGCTATCAGAGGGTAATTGTGAAGTCACTCAGTTGACACAGGTTGGGCAAAGAATCTCAATTTCTTAATTCCCATCCAGGCATTGCTTTATGGTGTATGGCTGTGTGCTGCCAATGAGTAATGGTGAATTATATCAAGGGACTGAAAACGACCCCTACTGTACATGTATTTGGCATAAGTGTTAGAAGTGAGCATAATAGACGATGTTCAATTAACTCTAATGATTATGACTGGCTTGGGTATTCTCCCAAACATGCATACTTTTCAGAATAGTCTGCACATACAGATCAGTTACAAAAGTGATAATTAAAATTGAATGTGATATGCACACAATTGTATTAAATTTACTTGCTTCTGGCAGAGACACACTCTCTTCTCAATAAATGATGTGTTGCATTGATTATCATACTGGTAGGTTGTAAGCTACATAACATTGGAGCATATGTTAGTTAAAATTTTAGCTTCACTCTCATAGGATTGCTTTCATGTTTACTACAAAGCTAACATGGGTGTTTATTTTTTCATATTTAATCAAAAATGTTTTTTTTTTTTAATACTCTTTGATATTATTTGCCTGTTGCATGAATATTTCAAGACGATTTTTAGTAAACAATTTTACTTTAGACTGCTTTTATAACCAGAGCTATATATATACGTATTAGTTTGCCTTCTTGTAAGATCGTAATCATTACCCTGGTAGTAGTGTATTTACAATATAATCATACTTTCATATGTAATTAGCAGGATAAGACTTGCAGATACATGTTTGGATAAACATACATCAACAAATTCAGTTTACTAATTTCTACACATTGATCATGTCATGTATGTTGCACTAAATGCCTGGAGGTGGATGAAATCAACTGTTAACGTTTGCCGTTTTTCAACTACTTGGGTATAACAGAAATTAGTTATTGTTTTATTTCTTATCACCGAAAATAAAACAATATGCCAGTCATTGAGGTATCCTGTATTTGATTATAGACCCTGATGGTCTTCAGCGAGACAACATTTAAACCCTATTGATTATATCGTGTACAAATTTATCACTCTTTTGTTGTAATTGTTTCTCTGCCTTCAGGTCAACCTGATAAACAATATGGACCTTCCGGGCTTACAATTAAAAATATTTTGAATTTTGACATCCAGGGAAACCCCACAGCATGTGTACTACTATTTCTCTGTTACAGCGCACAATGTGACTTGATTTATATTTATCCACTGTTTTATATGTTACATAAAATATATTTTCTATTTATTCCTTTTGTTTATATTATATTTTCTCATAGAAACATTTGGTGGTTGAGCTATTCTAGACTGGCCACTCCTAAAAAAACATCAGAAAATAAATTGTGTGTTTATCCATGCTACAATGAAATTACTCTGTCAGAATTGGCTAGTAATTGCAACACTTCATGCGCTAATAGAAGCAATAATACAGTAATTGTGAAATTTGTTGTATGTGAACATTTCAGATACTGTTATATGTATTATGTAGTGATGCCTTTAACACCAACTATCTGCCTGTAAGTATGGTTGAGGGGAGCATTTGAACATAGTGTGTTTTACCTGGCACTTTATTCAGCTCATACTTGTAGTAAAATTGCTATGTTGTGTAATTTGACAGGATTTCACAACTTTTAATTCCTCTTCTGAGTTGTCTGCAATCCATTTGGCCTGTGTATGTCATGCATATCCGATGGATATAATACTTTGCATTCCTGGGTTAATTCTACCCTGCATTTTTTTTTAAGTAATAACATTTCAATATTGTTACTATAATTGTGTTTTACAGCAGATGAAGAAGAGTCTGCTGGAATATTCACATCACCAGAAGCCTTGGATGACGATGAAGAAGAAGACGATGACATTCAGAATCCAATGAAACTGCCAAAATTAGACACACTTAAATGTGGAGAGTGCCAAATGAACTTTGCTCTAGCTGACATTGTGAGTTTCATAGAGCACAAAAAACAAGGCTGCAAAGTTGCAGGCCTCGAAATTATGGGTGAAGATGGACCACCTGACCAAGATGAAGCCATAGTCTTGCGCTCAGAAAAACCAAGGATTACAACCCCAATCAAAAACAGGACACCAAGTATTAGCAATTTCAACAGGGAAACGAATACAACAACAACTTCTAAACACCAGGATCAAAGTTCACCTGAATCAGTAGATACAGAGAACGGTACGTGTATGTTCTTATGCATTATGTCATTTGTGGTAAGCTCAGCTGTAATCCTTTCTTGGCTTCTGTTATCGGTAAAATGGTTTTAGCCATGATGGCTTCCTTTTTCCTAACCAATTACCAACTTGTTTACATATAGGTAGAAGATAACATGATATTTTTCATCTTTATTGTAGAAGATTCAGTACTACTGTTTTCCTGATATTTTTTTTTTTTTGTGAGAGATGACATGTTTTTAAATGATAATCATTTTCTCAAAAAAATTCAAAATTAGCTTTTCTGTTGATGACAAAAATGACATAATCTAAAAGTAATTATATGGCATTGTGATTTTACACACCTGCTAAGTAGTGGACTGCATAATTCATGCAAGGAGAATAAATAGGTGGAGGTATGAAAGAAATAACAATACCGATAGTTGTGTATACATGCATATGTCAATTGAGCTACATATTCTACTTATTTGAGGTGTCATTTGAAAAAAAAAAACACCCAAGTTAGTTTATTCTCTACCTAGAAACAGCAACGTGTACTTGTAATATTCTTTCTTTTGCGGTACTTTTTTTGGTTGGGTTATAGATGTGCATCTTTCCTGATCTGTACCACTTATATAATTGTAAATCTCTATAATATTATGTACAGCTTTGTTACTTAATTTGAAAACTTTATTTCTCTAATAATTGTATTCTTTGTGACTATACATTGGGATAATTAATTATCCGGCCATAGCGATTCTATGGTAAACATTATCACCACTTTTAAAGTGGCTTATATTACGTCATAGTTAGGCCACTCAAACAGATTCACAATTTGTTTGCTTTAAGATAGACCTAAGTTAGGTGAGAACATGGTCAGTATGAAAGTAAAAATATTTAGAGGTATTTGTAAAACAACTGTTAGGGTATTCATGTTGTTCCATATTTGCTAGTTGTCTTGGAAAACCCAAATCATAAGTAAATCTATAAAACTGTGTAACATCAAAAAGAATCCTTTATAGTTGATGTTTTTTAGAGGCGAGTGGGGAGGGGGGGGGGGGGTATCGTGATATGAAATTGAGTGTTTTCAATCTGTAAGATATGGCTTCCATTAAATATGGTGGTAATTTTAGTGAGAAAACTAAGGTGTGAAATTTGAGAACCAGACAGGATCCTACAATAATATATAGGAGTCCTTCAAACAAGCAAGTAACCCACATACAAATTAAGGAAAGTCAAAACTAGGTTGGATACATTAGGATAGGAGATGGCAGAATGGATGATTCAGTGAAAATAACATCAAGCAAATACATGTATTTGTATATATATATATATATATATAACAAAAAATCAGTAAAAGTAAACTGCATACAAAAGACCCAAAAAGCCCTTTCAGTATCACAATAGCAGTGGCACTGTTAAAAATGTTGGGGAAGAAATAATATCATAGTGTGGATGAGTAGTCAAAAAAAATTATGTGGCAGCAATCAGGCTCCCCCCATTTTGACCAATGGTTACCTTACCTCCGTTTGTAATTATGCTCATTGGAATATTTGTATCAGTTTGGTTGCAAAGTTATAAAACAAGCATTCAAAATGTCAACTGGTCTTTTTCTACCTGCACAAATTCCCATTTTTTCTGTTTGATTACCAAGCTTCGGTCAACCGAAAAACCCCAGCCAGAAGATATGTTTAATGTCTGTATATTAAGCCCCACAAAAGACATATGAAAATAACAATAAATAGTTAGTCAATTTGTTTTCACCAATAAATATGAGTTGATATTTGTTATTATGTTCCATGTGGAACATGGAAATATATTCATTCCACATCAAGTTGTGTTTTGAATACTTTCTTTTTAAAAATTGTTCTACCATTAGTGGAATGTTCATTATGTAGTATTGCACATTTAAAATATCATTCAAAAAAATATCAAAATTGCAACTAAATGTGTGCATAGATTACTGGCGAAACCCAGTGTTTTATTAGATGGACCAGTCTCTGAATAGATTATGGTGAGTCCACTATTAACGGCAGGAACGAAAGATTAATGAAAAAACTAATATGGTCAATGACTTTAGTTCTTGTGCAGTCAAACAGTAAACTACTGTTAAATGTTCTACAGAAACAATCTAGAATTAAATATATGAACTAGTGAATTTAAATTAAAAACTACTTCACCTAAGTATAAATATATCTAGCACTGAAAACAATAGAATTTCATAAAAACCATATCTTTTTTTGCTCTATTAGTAGCATATACTATATGCTTACGTAAAATTTGCTATTTTATAGTAAATTTGGTTGTTAGAAATATTACAACTGCCCTTTCCCGAGTATATTTAAATATTTTAATACTTATCTGCATCCTGGACCCCAGTATGGTTTAGGATGTCTGTCATTCAACAAGATAAACTGAGACACAACAAACATTGAAATTTAGGGAAAGCATGCACAATGTTCTTACATCTCTGATCTCTATGCATGGTAGATTTTAACTTTCCATTTCCTTAGTATGTAAAAATAAAAAAAATATAATGACTATTGGTACCAATTGTGGTGCAGGGAACGAGTAATACTCTCAACTATGGCTTGTGACTCAAAGGACATCATGATCTTGTCAACTGCTTTTCAGCCAATCACAGATGTTTTAACAACATGTATTCAATGCAAATCAGAGTATTGATACACACAGAGTATAATAATTCTCAATTTATAATATAATATACTTAATTCTTCAAACTTCACTATTAGAATCACCATTTTAATCACAAAAAAACACGGTGTATAATTTATTAATTGCCAGAAGACATTTCTTGACATTGAATGTTGCTGTTGTCTTTGTTTTGAACAGAGGCTATGACATGTTATGTCTTGTTGTTTCATAAATAAAAAAACAAATATCATAATACTCAGAATTTCAAAAATATATTACCAGTAGTTCCATTGCAGACTAACTTTAACTGTTACACAAGATGGTGTACATATAAATGCATATAAAGTTAAGATATTTTTGTTCAATTTAAATTATTTCATTTTTAAGTACTTTTAAACTCTGGGGGCTATGACATACATGTCTTTATTTTCTCCACTGTTTTTGCACCTGGAAGGAGTACAATGATGTAAAAGTTTTATTGTATTTTTTAGCTCCGCTGTCGACTTTGTCGAGCGGAGCTTATCATATGAGTGATTGTCCGGCGTCGTCTGTGTCAATGTTTTACTTTTTCGACTTCTTCTTGAAAACTACAAGCCTGAATGATTTGATACTTGGTGTATATGTACCTTGGGTAGACCTCTCTCAGATTAGTTCATTTCATGATCATATCTTCAATTCTCTAATTTTTGTGAATATTTTTGGTAAAAAGTGATATTTTCGACTTCTTGTTAAAAACCAATAGTTCAATTGCTTTGATATTACATATATAGATACTACATGTAGACCTTTCTCAGATTTGTTCATTTTGTGATGATATCTTCAATTCTCTAATTTTAGTGAATATTTTTGTCATTTTTTGTAAAAAGTGATATTTTCGACTTCTTGTTAAAAACCAAAAGTTCAATTGCTTTGATATTACATGTATAGGTACTACATGTGGACCTCTCTCAGATTTGTTCATTTTGTGATGATATCTTCAATTCTCTAATTTTGATGAATATTTTTGTCATTTTTGGTAAAAAATGATATTTTCAACTTCTTGTTAAAAACCGCAAGTCCAATTGCTTTGATATTACATATATAGGTACTACATGTGGACCTCTCTCAGATTTGTTCATTTTGTAATGATATCTTCAATTCTCTAATTTTGGTGAATATTTTTGTCGTTTTTGGTAAAAAGTGATATTTTTGACTTCTTGTTAAAAAACGCAAGTCCAATTGCTTTGATATTACATATATAGGTACTACATGTGGACCTCTCTCAAATTTGTTCATTTCATAATGATATCTTGAATTTTCTAAATTTGATGAATATTTTTGTCATTTTTTGTAAAAAGTGATATTTTCAACTTCTTGTTAAAAATCACAATCATTTATGGTGAAAAATAATATTTTTGAATTCTTGTTGAAAACAGCAAGTCCCATTGCATTGATACTATGCATATTGTTCATTTTCTAATAAAATCTTCTGTTCTTCAATTGAAATGTGCATTGCTAACAGCGGAGCTATCTCAGCCGAGAGGCTGCTTGTTATATATTTACAACATATAATCAGTAAACTAAAAGAAAGTTTGTATACTATAAGGTTATTACGAGTATACCTCAAAGTATGCACGAAGACAGTACAGCGGAAGTATCAACAGACACGCAGCAGAGGTTGATGCAACGGTGTACTGTCTGAGTGCATACTTTGAGGTATACTAGTAATAATCTTATTATTATTCATCTTTTCCTTCCTTCACCTACATGTATAGATGCATCATGGGAATGGCGAAATTCAAAAAGTTTGGAACAGAATCAGCAAACTTCTTTTGTCTGGAGTCTGGTCAGCCTTGTTTGTTTTTATTATTAGGGGATGCTTACGCGCGTAATCATTCCGTATTTGGAATTCGCATTTCCTAATATGGTAGGATGAAAATACCCTGTAAAATGCTACTACGACATGCTGTAACTTATGGCGTTACGGTGACAGATGTATAATAATATAAGTAAACTTTATTTATTCTGTATGTCATGGTAGTTCAAGTATAATAATCTCCAATAATTTACAACATATAACCAGTGAACTAATAGAAAGTTTGTATACCATAAATAAACATTATTAATTCTGTATGTCATGTTAGTTCAAGTGTAATAATCTCCAATAATTTACAACATATAACCAGTGAACTAATAGAAAGTTTGTATACCATAAATAAACTTTATTTATTCCGTATACCATAGTATATATAATACAAATCTTGATAACCTGATTGGTCCATGCAAGCAGATCAAATTTTTGACGTCATGGCTGAGTATCAATGGCTTGAAACGAATGAAAATTAATACACTTGTTTAATAAATCTGATATTGATGGGTTACTCACGAGATATGCTCCAGACACCTCATTCACCTACATGTATAGTTATACTAGCTGTACTAATCCAGATGTGTTTGCGCATGGGATCTATTCAAAAATCAAAAGCAATGTATAAGATAGATACAATGCCCATATCAATTCAATACACAGTGGATTATACATTTGTACCATTCTAAATACCCTCAAGTAACTGAACCTTCACTTATATACATGCTTTATGAACTTGAGGGGGATAATCTTTGAGTAAACAGATGCAGATGTAAAATACTGTTTTGTGTGATTCAAAGACAATGTTTTCAGTTTTTACTATAAATCACGGTTTGAAAAATAATAATAAATAATAAAATATGTAACCTTTAAATATATACTAATTATGCAACTAAAACGAATAATCTTTAATAAATTAAATTTGAATGTACCGATATGTAGTAGTGAAATAGAAATAGTACTAACAGGCTTATATCAAAATGTTTGAGTTATCTCTGTCTCATGAACAAAACATAAAATCAAAATCAATGGAACAGATTGACTAAAAGTGCTTTATCAAGTTTGTATTGCATTTGTATTGGCAATTTCCAAAGAGAATTTTAGGATGGAGGACAGAAAAATTCTTTAATGTACACTACAGATCTGTACTTGGTATTTTTAAATTTTGATGAAATTTAGCTGAAAAAAATGTGGCTCGTTCAACCTTGGTATGAACATCACTAAATTATGCACAATATTTTTATTATGCGATTTTAATTCAAAATGGCCGACTGGTTGCCGTGCCATTCTGGTGTTATCTTAACTAGTTCTTGGACAGCATTAACCAATTTTGTTGATCAAAGTAGGTACAAAGACAAGACATTGTATATCCTTCACATCAACTTGCTTTGGATTTTAATGACTTTTGATGATGACATTTTTTGTTACAAATTTTTGTCTCGCATGTTTCTTAGGCTTGCCTAGGCTGATTTCATTCAAACTTCGTCTGAACAACACACATAATGTTTTGTTGTGAGATCTGATTCAAAATTTCAAACTGGTTCATGTTTGAATAAGCCATATTCCGCTCACTGCGAGATCTCGTGTGGCCAAGCTTTAAGTCCTTAGCAACCAGTTATAATCATGTGACACAAGTCAAGCTTTCCCCTAGAGATGGTGGCAGCACCATTGTTCACTCCGTTGTATTCCGTTCACACAGCAATATCAACTGTACAAAAAAGCTACAATGGGAGTTAAACAGTGCTCTTACGAAGTAATTCTCGATTTTATTTAAAGGATTACATGAATGGTGTGTATTTTGCACGTTTCCTGAAACCAAAAACACAACCTGGGAAATGTGATCGGTGGATCAGTGCCTGTTTTTGTGCCGATGACTTTGAAAGACACTTGCAGTACCCAACCGTGTTAGCGCCCAGTGTCTTCAACTCAGAAAATCATGATTTTTTAGGGGTGGCACATACCCGAGCACCCCCTCGAAAAAGAATGCAAATGACAATTTTAATTCACCATGCGCCAGATTTACGCACGGTTACCATGGTCTACACAATCATAACATGCTATGCTAGTATCCACGGTGGTCGATATTCACGCTGTATTATATAAAAACGATTACCAGTATTCGTTAAGCAATGATTAAAGACCAAGTTTTATGATTAGACAGTCAAATTAGGGGGATTTTAAAGGGGATGGGCGCTTAGCTGAGCACGGGTGCTAAGCCAGTCGAGTATGTGTGTTCGCTGCACTTTATTGGAAACAATGGTCTGACATCAACACTAATACCAGCCACTGCAAAGTGTGTAGAATTTGATGTTGAAACATTAGGTGGATTTTAAAGGGGATGGGCGCTTAGTCGAGCACGGGTGCTAAGCCAGTCGAGTATTTGTGTTCGCTGTGCAGATGGTCTGACATCAACACTAATACCAGCCACTGCAAAAGGTGTAGAATTTGATGTTGAAACATAAAATTTACATAAAAGGCTGTTGAGCCGTGGCACTGAGTGTCGACACTGAGTTTGTCCATCATATAAACGTGAAAAGATTGATAAAACAAATGGATCACAAGCGTGTAAATTAGGACAACAAACAATGCACAACGTTATGTTAGGACGCCATTTGAACCAAAGCCACCGTTGTCAGTGTATTTCGCGGGATGTTGCAGTGAGTGGAATATACACTACCCAGTATTATACACAGGGTTTTGGTCAGAAGGCCCAATCAAGAAAGTAGGCGGCTAAATTGTATTCTTTCACAAGCAGTAATTTGAAAAATAGACAGCTAAAGAGTCAGTGTGAACAAAAGTACCGGTAGACAGTTTATTAGCCTCTAGCTGTCTTTAGAAAACCTCTGGATGATATGAAAATGATCTTATTCCTAGGACAAAAACCTGGATAAGGTACTATTTGAAGTAATGTATATTTTTACCATAACATTTAGTTATGATCTTTCTACATATTCTGCAGTTTATAGCAAGCTCAGGTGATGTTTAGTCATACCTGCAACACATTTAAACCATGGCTCCAGGTGTATAAAAGGAAAAATGGTGACCAGATTTCAGTATGCTAATCGCACGTCATTCATCTGGTTGGAGTGCTCGGCAAAATTGATATTTTAGATAATTAGAATGCATGGAATATTTCATTTTTTTGTAGCATACAGGCATGAATATTTATGTAATACAATTATAATGTTAGTTGACTTGTTAAGTATGTTTTAAGCACAATTCAAAGCATTTCTAAACATACATGGGAGTTATAAAATGAATGTCAGTCACAGGTTTATTCAAATCAAAGTGTTAATCCAAACTATAAGTGACAATACATTCTTGCAAGGTAGACAAATGTGTATGTAAGTTGTTAGCACATAAGATTACTATAACACACATGATAACATTTGTATGCATAATAAATGATTGGTGCGACTTACAAATTACATTTCCCATGCTGCACTATCACAATTCCTGGGACTGCAGAGCTGTACTTTAAGTAATAAAGAGGAGTGGAATTAAGTGAATGAATCAAAATATTCAAAAAAAATGTTTTTATTATGTTTTAGTTTGCATTCTTGCATCATGATCATAGTTTCAATGGTGAAAAATGTCTTTGTTATGTGTATGTGTTTTTCAGTGCTACAGTGTAGTCTACCTTGTTTTATAGGATTTTGCTTTATATTCCACTGCTTTGTTGTTAGTCCCCGTTCAGACAAAGTCCGAAAACGGGGACTTATAATTCGGTCTCCGTCCGTCCGTGTGTCCGTCCGTCCGTCCGGAGTCATATCTCAGAATCTCTTGGACCGATTCCGTTCATTCTTTGCTTGTGCCTAGTACTTTATGTGGGACATATGCACATGCAGTGGTTTAGCGATTCGATTCAAAATGGCCGACTGGCAGCCATCTTGTTTTTTTAAAATGTTGTATTTTGGACATACTTTGTCAGTTTTCATTTAAACTTGATACATAGATTATACATGTTAGGATTCATGTCCATGACGATTTATTTCACAATTATATCAAAGATGGCCGACTGGCAGCCATCTTGATTTTTGAAAATGTTGTATTTTGAACATGCTTTGTCAGTTTTTATTCAAATTTAGTACATAGGTCATACATGTTAGGATACATGTCCCCAACCGTCCATGAGTTCCTGAGTCTGTCCGTCCGTGTGTCCGTCCGTCCGCCCGTGCATCAGTCTGTCCAGAGTCGTATTTCAGAATTCTGTGGACCGATTCCGTTCATTCTTTGCGTGTGCCTAGTACCTCATTTGGGACATATGCACATGCAGTGGTTTAGCGATTCGATTCAAAATGGCCGACTGGCAGCCATCTTGTTTTTTGAAAATGTTGTATTTTGGACATGCTTTGTCAAACTTATTAAAACTTGGTACATAGATTATACATGCTAGGATACATGTCCATGACGATTTATTTCGCAATTGGATCAAAGATGGTCGACTGGCAGGGATCTTGTTTTTTTTATGCGGTATCTTGGACGTACTCTGTCAGTTTTCATTCAAATTTGGCACATACATGTAATTTATACATGTTAGGATGCATGTCCATGACAATTTGTTTCAAAATCTGGTCAAAGATGGCCGATTGACAGCCATCTGACTTTTTGGCCTTACTACTATATTTCCACAATTTATGTACCAGTTTTATTCGTATTTGGCACATACATCATACATATCAGTGTGTTTCATAATCAGATCAAGATGGCCAAATAACGGCTGTTTTTATTTTTGGCCACACTACTACTACATGGAACACGTGTTTTGATGTAAATAAACAATCTGTTGTATATGCTACTTGGAACTCAAGTTTCAAGAACACGCTCGCGACAACCCCTCTGCTTTAATATGACGAGCACAAAGAGAACTTTCAAAAATTTGACGGGGACTGTGTCATTTTCAATGACTTGTTTACTAAAAATTAAGACCACGTCTTCAATAGAAATCTCATTTTGAATAAATATTCACCTATTTGTCATTTTGTTCTTACAGAAACTACTTCACCAGAACCCAGTAAATATGTGTGTACACAATGCAAGCAACACTTCAGAAGTGCATGGTTTGTCCTACAGCATGCCCAGCATATCCATGGTATGAAAATATACTTGGATAATAATATGGATATCTCCAAAGAGTCTCCTCCAATTCTTCAACTAGAGCAACCACCACCACTTCGGCAACAAGTTCCTGTACAACTTCCACAGCAACGTCCATCTCCTACTCCGCCGCCACCACCACCACCATTACCACCATCACCTCCTCCTCTTTTACAGCAACGCTCGCCAAGTCCAAGCCTACCTATTGAAAACAAACCGCTGCCATTAACCATTGAAACTAATCCAATGTGTCTGCCTGTGCCCACTCCTATTGAAAACAACCCATTTGCAGTTTTCTTGCGACCACCAATGAGTGAGCCTACAATGGTCAATAGCCATGAGTCAGTTATATTTCATGCACATCATCATCATCCAAGTCCTGAAATGTTCAGAGATGCAATGCAGATGGAAAGAATTAGAATGGAAAGGCCATTAGGAAGGATAGGGGACCATCTTGGAATGCCACCAGATGGGTATGATAGACGACCGGTTATTCAT